ATATTGCAGAATCAGTTGGATAATTGACATCAAGGAAAAGTAAATAAAGCTAAAAGAAACACTAGCACTTGTGCATTTGGGCCATTTCCAACTTGTATCCTGAAATGCTTGAATATGATCACCTACTTGATAACAGTCGTCAGTCAAAGGCGATGTCCTCCATCTCCTTCCAGGTGAAATAAATACAGGGTTTGATGCAAAAACATGCAACCAAACAAGTCTTTAAAAAAAAAACACGCTAGTAGCCTACTCGACGCAGTTATCCCATCAAAGATGCATTGGAAAGCTCATACTCTCATCTATATTAACTGACAACCGCCATTTAAATCTTTAGGTTGGTTACAGAGAATAAATAAGTGTATCATAGAGTAATTTAAACCCGGTTCGACACCGGGGTCCGTACAGATAGAGCGGACCCCACGCGCTGCTCCAGACACAGCTCAGCATACCGGGGGTATTACGTCACGCAGGCTTCAACCAATGAGGAGGGAGAAGTGCCTGCCAATCAAGGTATCAAAACATTTGGCAGGCAGAGTTCAGTTAAATAATAATAAAAATAGAGACATCATTATGACTTTCAAATTGCACATTTCCTTAATGATTCATTAGGGATGATTGAGTAACACACATAATTCATTACACCAAAATAATATTATGGCCATGTTATCAATTATAAGAGACCTCATTCCCAACTGTTCATCCTTTTATTATCTTAAGAGCATAAGTGGTCACCAACACCAACATATATATCACAAGATAAGAATAAGATTAGGGTTGCAATAATAATTTTCATTTGTGAATAATCTTTACTTTATTGGTTATAATTACTAATGGGTTCATAGTTTAGTGAAAGGTCAACTATATGTCAATTTCAAATCCTCTTTTTTAGAAAGACGGAAATCAGAGTCTATTGGCCATTTTTCACTATTTTTGCTTGAAAAATACAGTATAAGTCGCCTACTAGAAAAATGAACCCCCACCTCAGAACCAAATCATTGTATAATGCATTTAGAACTATCCAGTGAGGCCTTTTATAAGTAACTCTTTACTATAGAGTTAAACATTGTATCAGTAATATTTTATAATCAGTTTACCATATTAGATCAAATCACAAACGAGCTGGTGGCAAAGTCATCTCCCTAAACCTGGTTCAGATCGCCCTCCAGTGGTGAAAAAGAACAGACTTCAGCTTTTGATGCATCCATTTTCTAGGAAGGTTGTAAGATGTATGACACATGAATCCCTCGATTAAAGGTAAAACATCGAAGCATAAAACAGTGCATGTGTGCATTAATTCCAGCTTGATAAGAAGGAGGCAGCCTCACTAAGTTAACCATGTTACCTGTTTCAGGAATGAGTCTAAAACATTCATTAATGCAGAGCAAACATATTTTTAAATAATCAGATCCACTCTGCTCATAAACAAGAGCAGATTTAACATATGTTTCCTCTGACCCATTCATGTCATGTTTCACACAGATGGGCCATTTCTTTTTTTTCACCAACCAACATAAACGTTTTAATCTTCTTCCATTGCATTAAAAGAGTAGAATGAATTGTGAGGAACATTTTTAATTTGTTCTGAACTTGGTAAAAAAAGAAGAATGTGGACATACAACCTCTTGTAAAAAAAACATTTAAGTGTCTACATTGTTCACACTATTTACAAATACAAATATAATAATAACAAGAACAGATAAACTCACAAAAATGTGCAAGTATATTTATATTTTCTTATTTAAACATTTCAGCATGTCTGATAATGTATTACAATTGTTATAATGCAATTGTAAGAAACAATATTGCTCTAGATGGAGCCATTTTTATTTGTTTGTGTGAATTCTGCATTTACAGCTTTGTTTTTCTGCAGTGCCAGATCAGAGAACTTTAACTGAATGCACAGTCAGGAGAAGCATCAGCAGGTCTTCAGTTTAAACCAGATTATTACAACATTAAGGTGATTTATGATTCATCTTGAGACTGGTCACTTGAGTCCATTAGGCAGATGTTTGTTTTGTCACATTGAAGGTGTTTATCTGTGTTTCCTCTTCAGAAGGAACATATATGTTTCCTGTAAAGATAAGGAGCAACTTTATTGCAGGGTCATAACTGTCTGACTTTGTCCAAGCCATGCAAAACAGACGTGGACAAAACTTCCCACGCTGCACAAATACAGCACAGAGAAACGATTGCATGTTAAGTCTGTGAAAACTCCAACCATGGTCACATGTCTGTTAAATATAATTGAATGTTATATCTTATTTCACATTAGCGACAAAACAATTAAGAAATATAGACCCTAACATTTTTAATGAGCAACACATCTTCGTAATGTGAAAGTAAGTTCCAAAATGGGTCAAATGTCTGATTAAGTGTACAATTTCAGAGGAGTGTTGCCGTACCTGCAGTAGTTTGTGCCACACTCTAAGTGGTCCCTGCAGCTGGCCCCCACAGGCTTCATGCTGTTCCAGCGCCACAGGAGCGACCGCTTGGTCCGCTGTATCAAACCATTCCAGTCTTTAGGCACAGGCGCTGATTCCACCTGCAATAACACATATAAGATTGTTAAGAACTGTGATGACTCGCATGATTGATGGTGATCGAATCAGAAGCATGTCATGCCCTCCTTGACATCATGTCAAGCATGTCATTCTACAGAAAAGGTGGAATCTGGGTGATACAAATCTGCTCAAATAAATTCCTTCTAAAAACATCTAAAACCTGTTAAATAGCAATAACTAACTCTTAACTTCATGAATCCACAACAAGTAGAGCTTAAAGTATTATTATTTTTTAAATTATTTTTATACTTTATACAAAGCTTATTTGTATAGGAATGTCACTGGTGTTACGTGTTGCCAGGAAGAAGAGTAACACCAGTGACAATTTGGAGAAAACACTACCATTTTAACAAAATGGCTGCAATGTGTCAGACCAAATATGGCTTCAGTCAATATCAAAATCGTTTAACTCTTCAATACAATACATTTTCCCATTCAAATGTTCACCCCTAGGGCTATGCAATGAGTAACACTAATGACAGACTTGAAAGACGCACGTAAAATTTGAAGATAAAATGACACCTTTAACAAACAAAGTAAGTATCTGACTTTCCTTATGTCTTTGTCCACTGCACTGCCTCAAATGATCTCTTGTTACAGGAGGCACTTCAGAGACAGTACATTATTTCAAAATAAAAGCGTTTTGTGTAGCAGTAACACCAATGACGTCATTTTGGGTGACTAACATTTATTTTATATTATTAATAATAATTTGCGTGTTATATTTAATGCTTGTAATGTTATGTAAATATAAATTACATTTATTTATTGAAAAAAAAATATTTTAAATTAAAACTATAGGCTCCACTTCCATGTAAGTGCAAAGTGACAAGGCAGTTCCTTGAACTTGGCATTTTAAATAAATTTCAATTTATGTATAAAACCATGTTTTTTATTTTTTTTATTTAGTACCATTGCATAGACAATCTCTATTTATTCAACATATATAATGAATGTGAGTATTAGATCAACGTCATGTATTTTGGTGTCTGCAAAAGTAAGTGACAGCACTTCCACCTTTTCTGTAGAATGACATGTTCTATATTAGCAGAAAATAGATCAAATAAACAGTAACAGAAGGATATTAACCCATACACATACCTGGATGGCACATATCAGAGACAGAAACATTGAAAGAACGACGATCTTTTCTTGAACAGTCCTCATGTCGTTCGCAGATCAGGTTCAAGAGAGTAGAAGTTCTGCGGCGGGGCTGGTGTGCTGCTGTGTCATGCAACGTGTATTAAAGGCTTTGATTAGGGTTTGGGAGGAGTTAGCTGTTGACAGATATCAAAGATTAATACTCCAATTTAGCTACTTTAATGACTCAGGCTGAGGTTTAGAAGCTGATCTGAAGTCATTGCCAATGATGCAGACCTCATTAAACAGTCAAACTTATCCGTTTTATAATGACAGACAGAGTCAAAGTTTATCGAGAGGGAGCCAAAGTACACTTTAACCCTGCAATTGAGGACAATTCCACGTAAGAGAGTTGTAACAGAAACCTCAACATGGGTCTCGGTTGTAGAAAATGTATCCATCCACCCATTTTACCCGTGGAACTACAGGATTTTGACTGTGGGAGGAGGACGCTGAAGGAAATCCATGTGAACGACACAACAACTCTATAGTAGAGATTGCTTACTTTTAAGCCATCTTAGTGAGAGTTTCTGGCCAGCGTGGCATCTTTTTTGACCAGGCCAGTGACCTGCAGGAATCTGTGGCTTTCCCGACAACCTCACTGCACCCGGACAATAAATAGTTCCACTAGTATCAAGTAGAAATAGTTCCACTAGTATCAAGTAGAAATAGTTCCACTAGTATATCACGTAAGAACATGGAGTGAACACAATATACATCAATTTATTTGTTAACAATTGAGGGTACATTTCAACCTCAAAATGTGTTCAAAGCATAGACTGTATATGGTTCAAAGCAGCAATGGTAACGGGCTGAAATGCATAATATAAAATAAAGTAGGTAATTTAGGATGTTGACATGTAAGAAAAATGTATGGAGTAAAAAGAATATAATGAGGCATTATCATTATGTAAAGCTACATCTATGAAAACAAAAAATGTATTTAAAAAAATCTGAATATCAAATGCAACCTCAATTAAAAACTGTTAACAACATTATTTTACTCATTTAAAGCAGGTGTGATATGTCAGTTTTTCAAAATACTACGGTGCACAACTATTAGTCATATTGGTTAATCTGTTGAAATCAAGAGAGGTGTGTGAGTGTGGTTGTAAGTCTCCTTGGATGTGTGTTTGTCTGTGTGTGTACTAAGGTCATGTGATAAGTACAGTTTCAAATCCGACTTTCTACGTTTGTCACTAATAAATTAGTCAGACAAATCCCTGAAGTTTGTCATAAGGACATTCTTGCTTAACTGCAGGGTGACATTATATCAACTATTCACAGGAAACACAAGGAGAGGGTTTGAAGCACAGCAGGTTTATTAAAGGTTGCGGCAAATGGCAAGACAATGTTCAGCTTGTTAGATATTTGACCTATTGACCTATTATGTAAACGGTGATTACATATTGATTATTACTTTGTATGGGTAGTAGTGTAAACAATAATCTGTAACATGTGAAACCAAGACCACAACAACATTAAAACAAGTGAGCCTGTCAGTTATGTGTGTGAAATAGTGGTTATTCATATAGCAAATTACACAATGACATTCTACAGTACTTAGTTCTGGACACAAAATCTATTTCATTTAAATCCAATAGGCTGTTGCCAAAGAAAATAAAGAAAAACATGTATTTTTTTACCCAGATCCTAAATAAAGTAACAATAATCTGATCCAATAATGTTATTTAGAAGTGCAAAATTGAACCATATCATTTATGGACAATTCGTGGTGGTTAAAAAGAAATACATAACTTTCTCTTTTGCAGTGTCAGTAGCAGCTGGTATATCAGTAGGAGAACTCATGGAGACATCAAATATAACAGGGTACTTTACACCATCATGGGACAAGACATTGTACCTTGCACAAGACATACAAGTACCCTTTATACTGCTTTTGTTGAAGTAATACACATTACGATATTTGCATATATTGGGATTAAGTGGATTTCCATTTAAAGTTACAACAGACTAAGAGTACAAGCCGAGATGACTTTATATTCATGACATCAAGAATAAAACATTATGCCAGCAGTCGTTTTGCACAGCTTGACCTTGTCATTCACTTAGAGATAATACGGAAAAGTGAAATGTTGGTGTTAAAAAAAAGAAGGATGTGTCTCTTGCATTAAAACAGCGTTGCTAACTTTCTTCCTATACTGATGCTTCAACAATCTCACTAGAGCAGGCTGAAAACAGGCCTATTTCATAAACACACACACACACACACACACACACACACACACACACACACACACACACACACACACACACACACACAATTCCTGGGGGTTTGATCATTTCAGAGCCCATAATTAAAAAGGTATAAAAGACAATCTTTAAGATTTCATTAAAAAAAAGGGATTTGATCATCAATACAACTTCCTTGTAAGGGAGACATTAACCTCATCCCTGTAACAAACCTCTTCACTTTGTTTTCCTAAAAACATTGGATTAAAAAGCTGGATAAAAAGATGTAATTTTGGTCATTAATTGAACTATTACTCTGGGGTTACTGGTAGGAATTGCAGCTCCATTTAACACGTGAATTATTATGCAAATATGGCAATCCTCCTTCTTTAAACGTACGGTTTGGTGCTATGACGAGAGCAGGGGCTGCCGTTCAGCTGTGGTGCTCTGAAAGAGAAAGCACACACAAAAGAGTTACCTTAAGACATTTATGAAAACCATGTCCATTTATTTACATTTATGTTTAAATTATGTACAAAAATACATATTCTAGAGAAAAAAATATATAATATGTTTTTTTTTTATTGATGGGCAACGTTTATATTCTCACTCTTCTGCTTTATCTTCTATTTTGAGATGTTTATATTGTTTAATTGTTTATTATTACTCTTTTTATTTTCTAATTATGTGCAATACTTTGTTTTACATGCTGCTGCAACAACAACAAAAATCCCAATTTGGGATCAAAGTTTATCTTATCCTATTCAACTTTGGCAATTGCCACTTCAAATAATATTAGAGTAAATGATTTATGCTTGTTTTCAAAATGACCACTTGGTCTGAAATGAAAAATGAAACATTATTAACTGATTTATTATGAATGAAAATAATAGTTTTCTGCAGCTCTAACGACCGAACAAACTCATGAATGTCCATCTGAAGCGCTCACCTCGGGGACGTTCTGCCGACACATCAGGAACATGAAGATTCCTCCCATAATGATAGCAATGCCGATCAGCATGAAGGGGATGTTCTCCACCACGCCCTGCTCCACGATTATCTTCCTCAGCTTCGCCGCCGACGCATCGTCAATGACAACGCTCTGTGTAGATGGTAGCAGAGAGAGATACAGCACAACCGACAAGACGGTAGAAAAAGAAAAGTTAGGTTATCGATGTAAGTAAAAAGTTGTTCTTATTCTGCCATTTCATGTGTGTAATTAATGTCTCAATTATTGTGTTTGTGTACCTCATTGAGATAAACCACGGGAAGGATCACTGTCCTCACGTTTCCTGTTTGACTGAAAGAAAAAAAGGAAATTATTCAAATGTTTTGCATTTCGTTCCTATAAATTAAATGAATAAATGTCAAAAAGACATTCAGACAGCTGTTAATATTGCAATGGCTCTCCGTTTAAAGTAAGTATACATTTAGTTGTACATCTATTATTGACTAGTGCTGCTCAATGGTTCAATACATATTTTTAACAGAACACCAACATGTAGTTCAGTTTAATATCTCTCTATTTATTGCTGATTGATATTCAACAAAGTGATTGGATATTTTCCACATAATGTGCAGCCCTTGTCTAGACTCATATTACATCAAGATTGTTTTCTCGTCAAGTAGATCCACGAGCGTCCAAGAGTCCATTCATAGTGATGATGCTGGCATGATTGCTTTACTGTTATGGCAACCCTTTCCTGGACCTAGGTAGTCATACATCTGTCACCGCGGCGCTGCATTAAAGCCAACAAGGGGGTGCCGTGACATGAGACTGATGAAGATCTGAGCTGATTACCTGAAGGAGGACATTTTCTCAACAAACACGTTGACCTGGAGCCGTTTGGCAGCTTGAATAATGATTCCAGTTAGCTGCAAAACAGAATGACATTTGTTAGGAATGTATGGTTAAAAGACACACCTGTCAATCCTGATGAATGAACATTTATGTCTCATTATAACATTTAGCAACAACATATTTGCCAAGACAACAGCTAACACACCAACAACAGCGGATGAGGGTTATTCTACCAGGGAAGTCGTACAGGGCACCGCAACCCAGTATTTATGACAAAAGTCGCAGTACTTTGACCAATCCCAGTGATCTCATGCAGTCACACAATGGAGATGATCATATAACCAGGAGAAAACCAGACAAAACAGTAGCTTAACAGGGTTCAAAGACTGATTACAATAATAATGCCACCACAGTACATGTCTGAGTTAACTAAATAGAAGTGAATTCAATTGAAACAAAAGTGTGATTCAGAAATGCACGCTGAATAACGCAAATGGAATTAATGTTCTTGTGCATGTTTTTTTCCTGAACTATTTTACTGTCTTTGATAGTCGTGCATCACAATGTATATTTACTTTTTTTCTGAGACTAAACTTCAATTTACAAGATTACACATTCAAAACGATGTCAAGGAAGACCTGTAAAAATCAGCATGAAGAAGAAAGTTAAATATATACTTCATGCAAAGCAAACACTACATGGCTGCCGGAGAGAGCCATGAAGAAAGCATGGCAGCGTGTATCTGCAGAAATTGAATTTCCGGTTATACACGTACAAGGATGAACAACAGTGTATCAACACTTTGTGATACTGAAGTGTTTTTCTCAGTCTATTTCCTTTTATTATGGATTTATTACTGGCTCAACCACGTTATTACAGAATTACACATGATAAGAGCTGTTAGAGCTTATCTTCGGCGACAGCTCCGTTCCACGTACCAATGCTTTAATCTTTAACCGATTTTACTCCTGCTTTGTGGGTATGGCAAGGGCTGGCAGTCACAAAGCTGAGATACTTCGCCATCTAGTGGTAAACATTAATGATACTGTTTTTTTTGTAATGTACGTTTTCATAGCAGCTTTGTACATTTGAACTATTTTTTACAACCTGAGTGTATAAAGTAAATACAGAGTTTAAACATTGTGTACACGGATAATTGTCACGGTCTGTCTGTTTTCCTGTTTTATTTTGAAAGGTGTTCTTATGTCTGCTTCCTGTCTCTGTGTTTTGCCTCCTGTTTCATTACTGATTCTGTTCCCCTGGGGCCATTGTGTTTTTCCTGTCCTGCCAAGCTGTGTCTTGTCCTTTGATTATTTCTGCATGAATTTAAGTTCTGGTTTTTCAGCTGGTTTTCTTTGAGTTTAATAAGGAGAGAGTTCTGGTCTGTACAGCTGTATATCCAGTCAACCTTGAATAAAGGTTATTTTATGTTTAAACCATTGTCCGTCTGCACTTTAGATGAACCTGCTCTGCTCACCGCTGACAACTACATTTCCAAAGTCCCCCTCTACTCAAAAATGTGTTTGTTACTTTACGGTAATGTTCATTCATTGTTAAGAATGATATGTGCATGACATTAAGGATTTTGGGAGATGTCCCTGTGGGCCATCTAAGCTAATTTACAGATGGCCCTGAGCCCAATAGAGATTGCCCTGAAAAATGCGCGCGGACGAAATGGCACGAAGGGTTTGGGGGGCCTCCCCCTAGAACATTTAGATTTTTCCAGGTCTTACTGTAGATGCTGTCTGGTGCATTCTCTAGACTGAGTTATAAGATGAACCACCACAATATTATATTTTACAATTTCAATTTTATTCTTCATTTCACTTGTTTGTTTGCTCTTGTTTGCTCGCTTGCATGCCCTGCATAGCTATAAGAAATACTTAAGTTGTTGGTCAAGACACTTTCCATCTGATGAAGGCAAATGCCTTCCCAGATGTAAAAAAGTAGAAAACATTACATTCAGTTATAACTTTCAAAACAAACATTATTTACACTATTATGGCCCCTGTTAAAAATGTTCGTAATGTTATCTACTGTAAGTTGGTCGAATGAATGTTTCCTCATCCGGAAGCTGACCGAGCAGACCCGAGCAGACCCGAGCAGCAGTCGAGAGGAGCCGAGCGCATCCGCGAAGCACACAACATGGTGACGTCGGAGTTCCCGTTAGCCGGCAAATCTAAATCTCTTCGATCAAAATAATTTCCCTTTAGCGCAATACCGCTTCAGTTGCGCCACTTATGTGACAGACAAGAAGAGTATGTGACAGAAAATAATAGTTAATTCTAAATGTCTAACACGTAATGTGGAGAAAGAGATGTCCTGTCTGGGTTGATTGTGCGTTGATCTGTTGGTAATGCCTCGGGGTTCCGGTGGGCATGTAAACAAAGGCATAATGCTGCGCTATGCTTTGTGGCCTCACCCGGTTGCATAGCGACACTTATTGTTTAGGTGTCTTTTAATACGCAGGTAGTCATATCATTAGCTAGAACTAGCTGGATCTGATCGATATGGACATAAACGCGAGTGAAGTCTAATCTGACGGGAGAGAGAGATCAGCTGCTGCTGACGAGTCGACACGCAGCTCTGCATGATCACATGCAGCGGTGAGCGGAACAAAACACACACTTCAGGTTAGAATATCACTCGCAGGCCTAGCATGAATGAGCATTTTTGTCAACTTTAATGTGGTCATTCTTGTTCTCTGGAGGG